GATGACAGAACCACTTTTTCCACATCAAAGACGCCTTCCTTCCACTCAATGTGATGCACACACAGGACTGGTACATTTACACTGCCACTGTACACTTCATTATCGTGTCATTAGCAGCTTACTGCGGTATCAAAAGCAATTCTTACATATATGTATGTATCAGTGCATACTCTGTATTAGGAGAAAAAAAACCAGTTAGACTTTGTTTCTGAAAATATGACTACCCAGAAGCTTCCACCCCAATACAAAGGCAGCTGGAACACAAACAGAACATATAACACACAAGAGCATATTTATATGTTCCTATAAATGAAGCTACATAAGCACACTTCTTAAAAATGTTGTGGTTTGTTTGTTGTTTGTTTTTTTTCACATACACACCAATAGTCTAAGATTCAGAGCAGATGTTCACACCAACTGCGCAACAAACATGATGCATTTCTCTCCAAACTAATCAATTCCATATGAACCTAAATATGACTGGAGAAAACTACCTCAATATATAGTTCTCAACACTAATCCAGAAGTGAGAAGATATGCCTTTTGTATCAAATCTCCTGCACTCCAAAACATTCTAACCTTCCTGCTACCATCTTAGATTCACCACCATAAAGCTCTGATATGTCATTTTAACAGACAGAAGCCAAGGAAAACATTGCCTCTAACAGTCTGTTATCTCCCATATGTGAAATGGAGCTTCTGACTATTACATAATCCTGTTGAAAACTGCTTTCAGAAAATCCCCATCAAGTGTTTCCCAGAAAATTTAACTCTTGTACAAAGTGAAGCCATGACCAGCCCAGGTACAGCCAGTAGTCACCCTACTCTACAACAGTAACAAACCCAGTAAAACCCTAAAACCCTTCACATGAAACAGTGCCTGTCTTAACCCAGTTCTCAACTACTGCTTGTATTACTCCTAGCTCCCTCCCGCTGCTTATAGGAGGGGAAATGCTATTACTGTAGGTAACAGCTCTAAGATTTTCCCCTTGCATGTGAATGAATGGTTTAACTCCAGTCAAGATTATTAGCCAGAGAGGTTTATCATTTTCTCCTTTTGGTATTGTCAAAATATAATAGTACCAATTCCTAGAAATTCCTTCATATCATGAAGACCTGAACTGGCAATATGAGACAACCAGAAGTGTTTAGGTTTCTGAAGTATTCTTTTAAGAACATTTATTTATACATTCCTTGGAGGAAATAAAAAGCAGGCAGTTTTCAAGAAGAAAAAAGTAAGTCCAAGAAGTTTTTTAAGAATTATTTGTAAGTACTGAAAATGACAGCCTGGTGAGAAAGGGCACAGTAAAGATTGAGAGCTGGCAGCCTCTCCTGCTGTTCGGGTTAAGGCTGCACCTCAGCTAAAAGAAGGAAAACTTAACAATAAAGTCTCTTGCAATTTTCTGTACTGTAACTGGGACTACTTCAAAGAATCTTGCCTGGTCACCTCAAAAATCCAAGTATGACCTATACACAAGTCTCATGCAAAATTCTGTGGAAAGTAAAAATTATCCAGATTCTATGCAGGTAATCTTTCACTTCAGTATGAAGCTCTTGACAAGGCCAGTCCCAGTGCTTTAGAGCAAAGTGTTAAAAAACCAAACAAAAAACCCCACAAACTCCTTGGAGTTGAATTAATCATCTGGGAAAAAAATTTCTTACCAATATTGGTTATATATATATATATATAAAAATTAATCTACACTTCAGTTCACAGACTGTATCTACCATGACATTTTAAAGACTTACTTCTTATTTTATTAGCTTGTATTAAAAAACCCACATTTAAAACTTCACCAGGCTCCTGGCCTCAGTCTCCTGGGAATATATTCAACTGTCTACATTGTTCACTGTGTAGAAAAGTCATTCCCCTACCCCTGCTTCTCAATTTCTTGGCTTTGACTCAAGACTTTGAATAGTTACAACAGTTAATGTTAGATGCTACAAAAGAAAATAGCACCAACTATGCAATGCTACATTTGAAAACCATTACTTCCACAACACAAAGTCAGTGGGAACTTCAAAATAAGGAAAACTTTAAACTTTTTGTTTATTCCTTGACTATGAATAAATACTTTTTTGTATCTTAGGGTTTACAACGCCATTTTTGTAAAGACCTCTCCGGGACAGACCAATGATAAATAACATATTACTAGTCTTTTTTTACTGTTTTTATGACTAGAAGCTGCACAAAACTGTATTTAGCACATGCATCTTCCACTACTCACAGAAAAAAAGAAACAACCAAGAAGAGCATGTATAGAATAAGGTGCAAGCTCCCTTTGAATCTCTGTTCTCAGTGTGCACAGATACACAAGCAGGCATCAAACAGGCGCTATGGGGAAGAAAGGAAGAGAATTCAGCCTTTCTTCCTCTTCACTATATTGCTGAAGTACATGCAGAAAGGACCATAGGATTCAAGTAGTAGCAACTTCATGGGTTGAGACAAGGGATTGCATAAACAAAATCTCTGGAAAATAAACAAGCCTGGCTTCCAGTAGTACTTCCTGTGATCTGGAAGTGGGGAACTAGACCCAGTCCACCCATGAGAAATCAGCACGAAGAAACCCACAAGTTTTTTTGTTTTCCACCCACAAAAATGCATTTATCATTTTGTGTTTCAGTTCAACAAAAATCAAACCATAGCATTTTTGCCCTCTGTACAATGTTTGCCACTTCTAACCCAAAAATTTGGGGGTGGGGGGAGCACAACATCTAGTACAACATCCTCACTGGCATACCAGGCTCACAAAAAAAACCTTTATGCCTTTATAGTATATAATACTAAAAATGTTTTTTAGCATTTAGTATGACAGTGACATTTTAGAAAAACTCTTTAAAGCTGATAGAAGTGCATTTTGTACTTCCTATCAAGCCTTGAGTAAAGAAAGGGAAAAAAAAACCAGACTAACAGCACTACTACAGTAGTGCTGCTTATAAATGCTTACAGACTATGAACTGCTATAAATGTTTCATTTTTCTAAGTTTAAATTATTCCTTGAAACATACCCCAGCAATGACCACATCACCACCTACATCTACTTTCAGAGCTATGCTTTCTACTCTAAGCAACTTGCTACAATCTTTCGTGAATCACAATAGCAAAATCCTAGCAAAATCTAGAGGCTTTACTGGATGAGTAAAGAGAAGCAGAGAGAAAAGAACTCACTCAAGCACAATCAGATGAATCAGGGAAAATTAAGAGGAAAGAGTATTTTCTACAGGTTTTTTTTTGTTTTCATAAATAAAAAAACTAAGAAAACTCATAACATTTTTTAGTGTCATAAATAACCCAAATAGACATGAATCAGGATTTAATTAAAAAAAATAATAAAATACTGAAAAGCAAATGCAGCTTGTCATTTTATATACCATTTACTATATGAGCATGGTAAGTATTAAGCCATTCTACTTTCCAAGTATATAAATAAACACAAGGTAATATTACCATGCACACATATAAATAGACAGGTTAGAGAACTTTTTAAAACTGCTATTCTCTATGCATTGCAAAGTTTTCCATCTATTTAGTTATGTATTTTGAAAGTAGCATTGTAAAATCAGTCTCTAATAATTCTGAAAATTCAGCAAACCTGTTACAGTATCGTCTAGTTCACCTTTAAAATGGCAAATGTAACAAGTTCCAGCAACTGATCTTTTAAAAAAGAAAAATTCACACAGGATAAAAATGAAATATCTACAAAGAACAGACTTTCTAGGTTCAGGCAAACTTGATTTTTCTGAATTCCACATTTCTGAGTTACAAAAATTGCCAGTGTAATCTTACTGAAAATATTTAGGAAGACAAAAAATTTTACAGAAGGATCCGTGCAGAATCTGTTAGATGAAAATCAAAACCCTTACTAAAATTAAAAAGAACTATTACCAGTGAACCAGAAATCAATACACTGAACTACACCATTCTGTCACAACTCTTAATGAGCCAGAAGAAGCATTAAGAGTTAATGATATTCAGACAGAAGATTAAGATAGCTGATGTACTAAATTGCAAAGATTGCTGGAATGAACAAGGGAATTAGTGGTCAGGCAACAGCTGGTATCAAGTACAAAAAATGTCATTCCTGAAATACAGATTGCTGTGAAAGTATAAGGTGGTGTCATTATCTGCTTTCCCTCTTGTAATACCTTCTCCCTTAAGCATCTGTTATTGTTTTTTGTTGAAGGCAAGATATGGTATTACAAGTGACCTTTGATCTCACCTGTAATGGCCACTTTCGTGTTCTTGCCACTTGAAATCATACTGTACAAGGGTCCTAACCACAAGAATATAAACTGTGAACACACTGGGGATTAGTGAGGACTATATTCTGTTGTGAACTTCACATTTTTTTGTGTGGCTGCTGAAAAATGCTTGTTTCTATTTTTTGCACTGAACCAGGAAAACCTGCCCATTCCATAAAGGAAAGGAGAGATCACCTGCCCACATGCATTGACTACATGGCCCTGAGCATCTCTATTACTCCAGTCTCTTACTTCCAAAACTCCTGTCTCAAGGACTGCACAGGAGACTCCTGTCAGTATCGTGCCCACTCAATGACAAAGCTGCTACTGAGCAATGCAAGTTACTTCCATCTTTTCCCATGTTACCCAAAACAAACCACTGTCCAACAGCAAAAGCTGGAAACAGCAAGTTGGTGATATACTTGTACCAAAATTAAGTAAACAAATAATATTGCCAAAGGCTGCAATACTTTTGTCTTAAATCAAATAGTCAACAATGCCTTATATGCTCTTTTGCTCACTCAGCTTATAAATACTTAGGCCCGGACCCTGTAAAAAAACACTTTTTTTTTCCTTTCTTTCTTAAATTAAATCTACAAACTTCAGTGGCACTGTGACAAAGTTAGGAACACACAGTTCTCTGGAAGGTATGGGTCTAATTCATGACAGGGATACGTGATTTGAAGTTTAAATTACAAGAGTAAAAGTGAATGAACACACGTCAGATGCCTTAGCTGATTATAAACAGAGTAACTTACCCTGATTTTTCTTTTTCTTCAGCATCTGCATTTACGGTAGGATTTTCCATTTCTTTAATCTTCTCCTCCTCTTTATCTTCTAGCTTGGTTTCATCTTCAGTTTTCATTACAGTTAAGTCCTTTTCTTGATCCGGCTGAGTATATGCAGAATCTGTCAAATTTTTTTTGTTTCCCTAGGACAATAAAACCTTTAGTTAACTTACAAGGTGAAACAAAAATATAAAGGATTTAATAAAAGGCAAACAAAACACACTGAAGTTTTATGAGCAAAAAAACCCAGAGTCAAAGTCTTGTTCAAAAATTATAGCACCTTTCCTGTTCTCTCTTCTGAAAATCTCAAGCTAAACAAAACAGACTTCAAAGTTGCAGCCAGTGCCCTAGTCAGTCTTGTCACAACGATATACGCATGAAGCTCTTAGACTTGAATTACAAAGCAACCCCTAAGATGAACACTTCCCAGGGTATGTTTTCACTTAGGATGCAGAGATATCAGTACTGGCCCACCTGGTATTCACCCTAGAGTTGGTACCAGCAGACAGACCAGGGCTGGCTGCCACTTACACGCAGGAGCATTACAGTGATGTTGTACTCTGACTTGAGGAGCTACACTGCTTCCAGAGCAGTGCTAAGCCTGCACAGTGCAGCACTTCAGTGTACTGCTCTGCGCTTCCTTTGCTAAACCACAGAGTCAACACTGAATTTTGAAAAGGTATAAACATTTGTCTCCCTACATCACTGAATGACAGACATTAGACTGCTGCGTATATGTACGGCCCAGGTCTTTGTAGAGCTTCACTGGAGCGGAGGAGTAAAAGTAAGATTTACAAGAGCCTAGAAGTCTCAGCACTGTAGTTAGCTGTGAGTATGCATTCCCCAGTTCAGGATAAAGGTGCACATTAATTAGTCTCCATCTGACCTGGGAGGCCCCCAGCCAAGCACAGTGTTGCAGCTGCTTCCTAAAAAGTCAGACATTTTGACATCATGATCCTCTAAAACAGGCCCTAGAGATAAATATGACTCAAATGTGTTGTTCTGAATTGGGTTTACAGCATGTTTTTGTCTTGTTTTAAATGCATTACGGAGATCCCAATCTTGACATGGATTCTTGATTATCAACACATCACCTGACTTTATAAACAGGATATAAGATGAACATTAAAATATCTTACCAGAACAGAGGGCTTATCATTTTCTTTACTTTCATTATCATTCTCAGCTAACTTTTTTTCTTCTTGTTGTACTACTGCTACTTCCTCCTGCTTGCGCTCCTCCTTATCTAACACTTTTATTTCTTTTACAACCTGCTCTGGTTCTTCACGCATCTTCAGTTCTTTTTCTTTTTCACAGTCTTTACAAGGCTTGCTTGTCACCTTCTCTGGCAATGCCATTTGAAATTCAATGTTAGCTGATGTACAATACTCTTCAAAACCATAGAGATATCTAAAAGAAAAGAAAATTGCTTGCAATAAGCAAATTTGTTTCAAGAAAGAACAGGCTACCTAGCAGAAGCTAAACAGGAACAGTACACTTAAAGCCTAAAAAAAAAAAAGTATTATAACCAAAAAGTTATCAACTTCATGTGTATTACCACTAACAAAGGATCACTTCAGTTCTTTCTAGTGCTGTTTTAGCACAAGCTTCATAGTTTTATTACTTACTTTTTGTATGCACATTTAACATTATATCCTGCAGCTGAATTCAATACAGGGATTCCAAGATCTTGATAAACTTGCTTCCACACTGCTCCACTTTCAATCTGTTAAAGAAAATAAATTCATGTTTTTTGAATTACGTCACTAACACAAAAATTTACAACTTTGGAAAATAATTAGAAGTAATTTCCTCTGATTTGTAAAATTGCTATTTACCACACACACAGTATTTCCCTGTAATGCAAACTGTAGCCTAATACAGCTACTTAAAGTAATTTAGCACTTCTGCATTTCAGTAAGCCATAGCAGGTTTTCCTCTCCAGGTGGTAGTAAAACAAAGGAAAGAAAAGACAAAGATCAGAAAAATCAGTACATCATTTTTATTTTATATTTAAAGCAATTCTTAACTATCAGAGAGAGAATTTTAATTAAATTGGAAAGAAACAATTCATGCAAAGTATTAACAACACTCAGCCCTAGCAGTACTGCACCAGATACAGCAGCTACCGGTCTTTCACTATGTCCTTTATATGCCCTTTGGTGTCAAAATTTTGTGACTGTGATACGCCCATTTCTAATCATCTGTGAAGGTAAAGCAGATGTACTGCAATACCCAGGTACAATATCCTCTCTTGAATATCAGAAAGGTGTCACTGCACAAACATACCTCATCAACTGACAGGTTAAACTTATGGGAAGCAGTCCAAAACAGCAACAGAATCTGCTTGGCCATGAATTCCATATGCTTCAATTACTACTCCAAGACCAATCCCACTAATCTCAGTCAGCACATTCTTCTATATACTGCCCAGAAGAGACAGGAATTAAGGGCCTCACATCAGACCTTTAGATAACTTGTCTCTGAGATGCTACTGAGCAGTGCCTCTTTTCCACTTTGAGGTAACAACTTTATCAAACATTTCTTGAAATATCAAAACACACATGCTGGCTGATTTTATGCAGTAATAATTAAAAGACGCTGAGTAGATGTGTAATTTATTTAAAATATAATTAGTTTCTAGTTCCTGTTGAAGCATGTTTTTCAGAGCTACAGGGTGTCTTATGCAGCTGCAGTATTCAATTTTCCTGTGTCTAAAGCTCCTACATAAGATTTTTCTTTATCACTACTTAAAAATAAACAGCATCACCAAATTTTAAGGCTCTGGAATACTCATCCTACTAATACTTACATTATCAAATCCTCCAAGCTTGTGTACAAGTCTGAATAATTTGAAGAGATTCAAATTTCTATATCCTAATACAGGTCGTTTGTTAATAGGTGTCCCTGTGAACAAAGACAGTTATTACAGTGTATAGAAATCTCCTTTTCAGAATAACATGAATTCCACATCATATCCACTGCTATGCTATTAAATACAGTTTTCTAAACCCTCTGACCACCTCATGGATCTGGTACTTTCTCTTCAAGAAACTAAACAAACTCAAGATTCTTAATAACCCATTTTCCTCTGTAGTTCAATAACATAATTTATTTCAAACATACGCATTCTTCCATATATTACTGAACATGCACATATGATGCAACTTTTCTTGCTAACTATATTATACATATCTTTATTTCACCTGTTGAAACAATTATATTTTAAAACATCAACATAAACCTTTCACTACAATAAAAAAAAAACCTCCCCAGGAAAAAAATTCCACATTTCAAAGATCTGAAACTTCCTGTGCTACTGTAGTAGCAGTAGCTACAACATTGTCATCTCTTTTAGACAGTTCTTCAACTCATCTTCACATGTAATTAAAATGATACTAATTTAACTAGTATAATACTAATTTAAATATAAAGACCTTCACTTAATATAATAAACTGCACTTGCTTCTAAAAACATTTCAATCTAACTTACTGATAATGCTCATGCATTTAAGTGATCAGGATTCACACAAGAAATCTAGCACAAAGTACATGCTTTCTTCCATTATTCTAAAAAGTGGGGGGTGGTTAAATTTTATTTTATTTAAGTATTTTAAAGTTATTAAATTGAGCAGATACACTAGTATGATTGAGAATATTAAATGTTTGATTATACACACTATAAGACGACGGTAGAAAATGTACTGGGATGTATGAGATACTATCCATTTCTGAAAGCAGGAATAAGTGACTGTATTTTAGGAGAAGAGTCAAGTGACAGACTTATCTTCTAAGTAGCAGGGAAGTCAGAAGCGATGAAACAGTCTCACTGTTTCCAAAACCAAACTGCAAAGCACTACTAGTTTACAGACTCAATTCTTAAAAGTACTGCTAAGCAGTGCAGCTTATCTTCAGCTTCTACAAGTCAAAGATTAAAATGCCTACCTCTGTCTTCCATGAACTTGTATAATTGCTGAAGAAAGTTCTCTCGTTCTTCGGGAAATGGCTCTATTTCTTCCTGTTTAAAGCAATGCACACAAGCAAATTATCACCATTTTGGGTTACACTCCTTCATTAAGAAACCTACTGCAGTGATAACTTAGGTTCAAATGTTCAAGTTTGTTTTACTGCAGTCAGCAGCAGGACACTATACAGAGACACACACTATGCTATGACCAGTTTTTCCAAATATACAAAACAATAACTGAATACACATTGAAATTGGATTTTTAATTGATCACTGAAGTATCCCAAGTGATATCATAAATCAAAATGTATTCTCAATTTTGTCCATTTACACCAAAAGTCTGGGAGATACCACTACTGATGATTGAGAGATTACAGCAGAAATCTCAGGTCTACTTCTACTGCAGTTAAGTGACTCCTTGACGCCTGGATACACTGTTGTCATTTTCAGGGATGAAGTGAAAGAGAGGATGGTGCTTGCACTTTCTTAGGAGTTCTAATCCACAGTACTGGCAAACTGCAGCCAGTGGCACTGCATGTACACTGCCGTGGGGTACCAGCTGAACACATCACAAGCAGGATCAATCCCAGAACTGAAATAACAATGGCTATTTTGGATGTTCAGTTCACTGCACTAACAAAACTTTGTATTAGATTTACTTAGATTAATAAACAGCGGAGTTTCATGACAAAGCACTATGGCTTATTTTGTAAAACCTCACTTCCTTAGGAAAGGTGACCTGCCACAACTAGTAACAACAAGATATTAGTATAATCAGAATTCTTAGAAATTCTGATGACTAAGCTACTTCAAAACAATAGGCAAAATACAAGTTAATTTTCTGCATACTTTTCTAATACTACCTATAAGGTTTAAAAAAATAACTAGAAAAAGTACTCAGTAAATCTAAAGGTAATTATCTTTCTTTAGTGTATTTTCATTCCATGTTCATTTCCATTCTTCAACAGTCTCTTTGTAGTAAATATTAAAGCTTCACCTACCCTGAAGCAAGGTGACAAAACATATTGTCTTTAAAGACTGTAAGACAGCTGAGAAAACATCATGACTGAACAGAAAAAAAACAAAACAGAACAAAACAAAACAAAACAACCCCACAACATCTGCTGAGGCTATTTAATAAAGAGATGGATGGCTGAAAATAAGGTCAAGTAAAGCTATAACCATTTACCAGTGAATAGGGGTTTTTTCTTATTCTCTACTACTTCTCCATTAAATGCACTTGGAGGGCATATCAGAACAAACAGGCAAAAAATGAACTGGTATTTACAATATACTGAAACAGCTGTCATTTAGGTATAATTATCAACAGAAATGCAATTAAAATATTCCACAGTCTCAAGGCGATGCAAGAGTAAAGCCTCTGCAAGGGCCATTACTTGATTAGCATCTACCTAGCAGTACATCAGCAGAAGTCAGTCCAGGCCACTTCAGTAAGTAAGGACACGCTGGGTAGAGAATAGCAACCAGTGCACTAGATACATCCTCACAGCGCAGGGGCATCACAAGTCAAGCACATACTAGCAATTCTTCACCAACAGGTAAGAGGTGATGCTGCAGCACTGCATGTAGTACAAACGCCTGGTTAAGAACATTCACATTTCACAGGCAAAGGTGGCAAAGGAAACACTGCTAGCAAGTAAAGGATTCAGCCTGCAATCATAAAACCTGAATGTGATCATAGTGAACAAATTACTTGCGTGGAATCAACACAGTTTTGGAGTTTGTTTTTAGTTTGGCTTGTTTTGGTTTTTCTTCGATTTCACAGAACAGGTACTTGGAAAGGACTTCTACCAGCATACGCTGGATCATGGCAAAGAGATCATGAGCACCTACTTAGGTTTTCCGTGTTCCACACCAACAAGATAACAGTAGCCATAAGAAAATGGTTCCACAGAGCACTGGGGAAGTGATGGATGGGTGTGGGGTATCACTGAACTAAAGCTTCAGGAAACCAAACAAAGCTTTTAAGAAGGAATGCATACTCTGTAAATATTAGGGGAACTAAAATAAAGGTGGTGAAGAGGTGAAATGAAACACTGCCACTCATTTCTCACTATAAGATTCAATGCCTGAAGAGTACTCCCTACCTCTCAAATACGATAATCCACAGAGGGGCAAGAATGACAAGTAGGATAACTCCTTATTAATTTTTGCTATAGAGACCAAATCAGCTTTCTAAGAAAGTGTGCTAACTGGGAAAGCTTAAGACCCTGCATGCCACTGAAAAGCATTTTCACTTTCCTAGAACCTTTACAAAATCTGTACATATTAGAGTACAATAATAACATCTGTTAGTAATCTTCAAACATTCACAGAATCTTTTAAAGAATCAAGAAGTTAGTCGGCAAGGCATGTCATACTCTGTCATCTTTGCCTATTTCTAAGTTAGACACCCACAGTGCTAGCAGGTCACTGCAGTTTCTACTGCATATGTCCATGTCATGAAGGTAAAAGATAGTGGCTCATATGTATGATAATGAAATCCAGAAAAGCAGCAACACACTTTTTGCAACAAAAGATTCACACAGTATTATAGCCCAGGACTAGAAGAGAGGGTCTTTGTCAGCTCTTTGACCTGCTGTCAGAGGTAGTAAAGGAAAGGAATGCCTTTAATCCATCTCTTCCATTTCAGATTAAAAAAAAAAAAAAAAAAAAAAAAAGAGGCAACTCATCTTAGTAGAGAGGATTTGCATGTCAACTCCTATCTATATATGAAGCCAGCTCTGACATATATAAGAGCTTTTTCTTTGTTTGTTTGTTCTGGTTCATAGGTACTGAGACCACATGGACAGTGTGAGGGCTACTGGTGAGAATTCTTCATGTCCTGGAAAGCACTAGAACAACCTGCAAGTGGATAACAAATTTCCAAGAGCAGACTTACAGGTCCTGGTTGAGAAGAGATGCTGCTTGATACCCAGGAGGTTACAGGCACAAACTAATTTTAAAAAAGAAAATAAATGAGGAAACTGCACAAATTGCTCAAAGGCAGGTGGAGAGAAGACACATGTCCCATTGGTAACCAAGAAAATAAAAGAAGAAAAAGAAAACAGAATATTTTGTCCTGGTTTTAGAAACCTCGTAGTTAAGTGGGTGACTGAAACACTGGATACTGGAGAACAAATTATCACATGAGATGTCACAGTAAATGCCAAAATATACTCCTGAAATGAGATCTCCATGTCTAGCACAAGGAAAGACTAGCTCACACATCATCACATGCAACCAACAGGAGCTAGAGAAAAGGTGTTCAAAGGGTACAAGGTCAAATATTTACAAACACTGTAGCTAAATACTGTGAATTTTTCACCTGAAAGTAGTGAGGGAACGATCACTATATAAAGATTGCATGTCAACCTGCATAGGCACAAACCTGTCTACATTCATCATGCTCATGGATAGACATGAACCTGCTCTGAAAGTTCAGGAATTGTGCTGAGCCCCAAAGAACTCTCTGCTTCTCAAAATACTACACAGAGCATAGCCCCTTGCAAACTGAGCATTGTAACTTTTGATCAGAGCTGGCTATCTCCTGTGAGATTAAAGAAGAGGCAGAATGAACTCATGAGCATGGAGAGGTGGCAAAGATTTTACTTCACACCTTTGCAGTCTCCCAGCCAATTTTAAAACGAAGAAATTAATGAATTAAAGATGGAACACCATCTTCTGGTATGCCAGAACCACAATCCCCAAGTAGAATGTATTGAGAGAAAGATCAGAAAGATTCAGACCCAAACCAGTACAGTTCCTCCTTTACAATTCCACTGTTGATGGGAATTCCAGTCTACTGCATTACTGGCAGATAGATAACAAATTGGAGAACAGCTCTCAAACCTTCACAACAAAAGAAGTGATTATGGGCAGATACAGATTTTCAGTACCACCAGAAGGTACAGAGGAAGTAAAAGACTCAAAAGCCCCTCTTCCAGGCTCACAGCCAGCTGTGAAATAAAGTTATTTCCACTGATTTTCCTCTTCATTTTTTTCTGGACAGGAGGCTGGGAGGACAGAACAAGTAATTAGAAAACCAAGCACAAGGTAGGACTCCATACTTCCAAGACAAAAGAGAGAAGAAAGGTGCAAGAGAAAGGCTAATGCCTTGATTAAAAGCTCTTTTGCTTCTTTACATCAGGGTAGCCAGAGAGATAGCTTGTAGTGAAACAATTCTTCAGTACACCAGGATAAGAGAGAGGTACCACAACTCTGATTTCTTGGTCATTACCTAAAGGTTTCAAAATCTCTCACTTTTCACCACTCCAAAACCAGTCAACTCCATTTTCTACAGCTAGAAGCAGGGAAGGAACAGTGCAAACTACTTCCAGTATCTGCTTTACAAGAGAACCTACAGCTGTAGGCCTAGCAGTGCCATTTGGGGTCAGAAAAGGGTAAGGTAGAAGGGGAAGGAAGACAGGGTGACAGAGACACAAGAGAGGAGAAGACAACAACAGGGCCATGCCAGCCTAGTTTGGTTTATTTTTCAAATATGTCAAGAACACAGGTTAGTGACAGCTTAGAGCTGCCTCCTCAGATAGAGCTCCTGTGTACAAGTTAGCAAACTTCACCGTGGCTTGGAATTTGTGGTAAGTCATGAGTACGTACTGGGGTAACAGCTCTATGACCAAGAGAAAAGTTCATCATCATTTATGTGAGTAACTACCAACAGTAGCACGATTTTAGCATGTACAGAACTTGCTCCATGGCCACAAAGCATGGGAAAGATTTTAAAGCAGGATATTCAAGTTTTAATTTCTACTTTTCATTAGTCCCTAATGTCTCCGCCTTTTGACTTCATGTTTTCTGTTTTGTCACTCAGAGGTATTTGTTAGAAATTTTCACATTAACTGATCCTGGTTGAATAAAGATTTTTTAAAGCTGAGGCAGTACTGTTGCCTATGTTAACATGTTAAACGTTCGCAAATGTCAAAAGGATCTACTTAAATATTAGTCTTGCTATTTTTTTTATCAGCTGTGCATCCACGCCCTTTACTAACTTCACTTGCCTCTTCCTCACTGCTGTTATCCTCTTTTCCTTTTTCATCCTCTTCCTCTTCTTCAGCCTCACTGCTGGAGCTGTCTTCTTTCAATTCTGTTTTCCAGTTACTAGGAACAGTTCTGCTTTTACGGAATTCGAGGGCTTGGTCAAAAGCTGAAAAAGGACCAGCGTTTGTTAGCACTACAGGAAGTATCAGTTTGACCAAATGTTTTAATCAAAAAAAGTAGTCGGGGGCAGGGGAAGGGAAGAAGGAGGAAAGACTGCTAATTAACACCTCCACCCCCAAATTCAAAGAACCTCAACGACAACTCCATGTTGGCCATCCTTATTTGTCTTACCCAGCCAAACTGCCCCAGTGTTTCTGCAAATCAAACTACTCAGAGCCATTATTAGGATTATTACCAGGTTAGTGTCTATACACAAATAATGATCTTTTGTATTAGGCGTATATGAAAACTTAATTGAGAGAACCCCCTATTCCAACAGGTTTATGCTGTGGATTACATATACTGAACAGGGAGGAGGAAGAGGAAGAAATAAGCACAAGCTAATTTTAAGAGTCTGATCACACAAAATTGAACTTTCAATTCCAGTTTCTCCAAAGTTCCTAAAGGCAACTTACGCATAACTATTAGGGGTACTACGGTGCATGTAACTTTATCAAGATCTAGTGCAAAAGGCCAAATACTGAATAACCTATAACGCCAATGTGCACCGTACAACTATATCATCATTTGTTTGGCATGTCTACAGTTAAAACAAGTGTGGTAGAGTTGGGGTTTTTTTTCTTGTTTGGGGTTTTTTGTTGGAATTTTTTGGCTGGTTGTTTTTTTTTTTTTTTAAAAAGAAAAGCTCCTCTAGCTTTTCAAAAGTGTTCTCCTTCAATATGTTATGCTATAGGAAAAGATCCTGTATTGTAGCATTTTTAAGACATGAACAAATCTACCATAAATTTGGTCTACTTTACATAACAAAGCAAATACATACCCCTGTGTTTCCTCACCAAAAGTTATTTTTACCTTGTTTTAGAGTACCGTCAGGCTTTGGTGAAGTTTCACTGATCTCTCGAACATCTTTTCTTGGCACAGAAACACTAGATAATTTAGAAAGCATAAAAAAAATACTTTAAAATATTTTAAAGCTAAATTAACAGTATAATACAGAGCTATCACTAAGACTATAATAGACTTACTAAACATACAAAAGCATATGAAGTATATATTGACAATTCTGTAGTGTTAGTCTGGTACGGTATTAGTCAACAGATTAAAAACAAAGCTTCTACATAAATTTAGTCAGACCATCCATATGCATTCACTGCTTCTTAAAGCAAGCATTCTTCTTCCACTAACAGGTAGTTTCTGGAATCTCCCAAATATAAATTACTTAAAAACCTCATGTTAATTTAGCAAGTAACTACTTACTCACAAACAACAAAACCCTACCTTGCTTAAAACATAAATGATTAGTATAAACTGTCAGTATGAAACGAACAACTTCCAAATTGAAAGCATTTTTAAAAAAAAACTGCAGTTTTGGGGGGGGGGGAGGCCATATGCTTGCATGTGCACGTGCTCATGTGTGTTTCTCCACTGATGTGCATCGATGCGCCTGAGTAACTATCAAATGGTAAAGCAACAGCCAAGACTTGGTAAGTAATTAAACCTCAATAAAACTTAAATATTTCAATATCCTTTCTGCAAAAGCATTCTGTTAAACTGAACCAAGCAAACTAAATAGATGTAACTACTAAAGTAAAAACTAAAACCTAGAAAAAAATAACTGTATTGTCATCCATGAGCCCTTTTCCCTGACCAACATGAGTTTAAGTATACCATGTTCCTTGTTCTATTGCAAATACCATACAGTCTGGTTTTCTAGGTTCCTCTACTTTATTTTCTACTTTGAGCAGTATTACAGCTCTTTCCAGAGAACATGAGAATATGCAGTTGTAGTCCAAACTGAGATAAACATATGCCTTGCTACCTCAAAAAAGGAAAGAGAATTTCTGTGCGTGCGTGTAGTGTAGGTGTATGCACGCACACAACCCCACCCACCCCATCCTGTAGCTGGATAAGGTTATGGCCACATCTCCGGAAAGCAGTGTGCTCTACTCCAGTCAAAGCAGGAAAGAGTCTCAGGTCTATTTCTAAGTCACAAAATAACTGCTTTGTTTGTCACCACAGAAACAATGCCATTAAAAAACCTACAACATCCTGTTACTAACAATGACAAAGTTCAAGACAAAGTTCATCACAATGTAGGCTGTCAACAGGCTTCTAAAGATTAGAAAAAGTCTTAGCAGAAACTTAGTGAGCTTACTGATGTTATTAATACCTTATCCAAAACATTTCATACTACAGTTCACTTGACCGGTACAGATGTTATTCAGTTATCAGCCTCTACATTCCTACTCACAATTTGCCATCCTTGAAAGAGCGAACGAGAATATTGTCTTTTTTCACTGCAATATCATCACTACAGTCTGGACAAACCACCTGCAAAGACAGTAAAAATGCAAAGTTTAGAGAGAAAATGGAGTAACAAGTGAGTAATACTGATGCTTCTCAAAAAGGAGCTGGTGGCTGCTGCCAGAGACCTAAGTAAGAAAAGCACTCTGACAGAAGTTACGTACCTGTCATGCCACTACCACTCACTACAGCTTATTCTACTCCTCATCCTAAAAGGACAGAACTTCCACCAAGTGCTGCCACCTGAGTTAGAGACCTCTTCTGAAAAACTTCCTGAAGTTGCAAGGATGTAATCACCCCCAGTTTCAAAAGCAAAGACATACAGGATTTATGAAATGCCCCAAGGAGCAGTAAGTGACTGCAGATCAAATTTAGCCCTGGTAAGTACCTCTTCTCCTACACCAACTGCTTTCAGTCCTACTTTTTCCACCAAACACACAGAGATATTTGCAAAGCAAAAGGGTTTTTTCCACAGGTCACCAGCCATACAGCATTTTAGAAGGTAAAGTAAAAAGCTCCACTCGTTCTGGAAACAGTTGCATATCATAGCATAGGCTAAATATGCTTCTCAAGAAAAATAAAACTTAACAGCCTATCTCCAAAACCAATGCATTCTACAGTCTCTAAAGAAATCACTTTAAAAACTACAGCTTACTGATTGAAATGCCTTTTCAGATATAGTTTGCAATAGTGTTTTAATATCAAGGTAAAGGATAGTGTTTATCACCCCCAATTTGAAACAGACAGGTGCAATCTCAGCTCTCTGAAGACAGAAAAAGGCCCTTCTAGCTTTAGATACTGGTTTTCTATAAGCATCATAATCTTAGTAGTGAGACATCTATTCAAATGTTGGAAAACAGCTCACCACATCCTCATCTAGTGCCTTTACATCAAGAAACATAACCTCAATTTTGCCTGAATCAAGTTTTCTCGATTTTCTTGCAAAACAAACTCCAGTGGAGTCACAGGAGGATGAGAGAGATGATCCCATGTAAACTCAATTTTTTTTTTCTGAAAATGCTGCAAGCAGATTTCCTCACTGCACCTTCCAAAAGCCTTTAAGTACACATTAAAACTAAGCAACGCTATAAGGCTTACTAAATCACACTCTGACATAAGGAACAACTGCCAGGCTTTTTTACAATTACGATTAGCCATTGCTCTCAACCTACTCCCACCTCCCAAAACCAACAAAAAACAACCCATGCATACAGTTTTACATCTATAAATGACAGGCTACCTGATTATAAGACTGATATCCAAAGTAATCAGTTTCCACTTCTAACTGTTACTTGCTGCAAAGGTTTAGACTAATCCTTGAACATCTTTTCACGTAATAAACTTGCACAACGTCCTCTGAGCTTACACACGGTGTATGTGTACATAGTATCACTAATAACAAAGCAATTCTGGGATATATAGTCTTCAGCATATTAAATCTGAATTTTTATTTCATTATTCACATAATTACAGTTAGCATAATTTAAAGCTAAAGCAAAATTCATCAGTAATAAGATAAAATTACTTTTATATAGTAAAGATAACCTGCTTATGAGGTAAAAGAATGGAGAGGCATAGCTAGAGGGACAAGTAAAAAAAAACAATTTGGGGCATTAATCTATTCTTTGGCATGAGCTTTCAGGTTAAATGACACAATGTTTATTTGCGGAGCTATAAACCCAATTACTAAAATAACAGTTAATCTAGGATAAGCTATTTCAGCGTTAATGAGCTCCACCCTCAAACTTTGTGTCCCTTTCAATGAAGCTTTCAATGAAGAGTGAGCTACTCCAATCTCCAAATGAAAGCGAATGAAATAACAGCGTGTGTCTTTAGCATACCTTGAGAGCATAAACAATGATTCAGTTAATCTTTAAGAGAAGCTGCCTTGGAAAATGCTCTCTGTCATGAGCATGACCAGAAGGGCCAATCCAACAGCGTGACACAAACCAGCTCAAGCCAGGCTCACCAATCGCTTCTCAGAGTACAATGGTGAGGCAGGCAATGCTGCATTCATCTTGGTGACAGCTTGCAGTAAAGAAACAGCTCAATTTTCTTGTCTGTTACTGAAAAACTCTCTTAAAGCTATCCATCATTAACATGGTATCTCCTTGCTGTGTATTCTGCCTTTTCCTTGTTATAAAAGAGAATTCAACGACTCATTCTCTCCCATCAACTTCTCCAAAAGAAGTCCTTGCTGGGAAGCCTCTGGACTGCATTATAAGACACAGGCGATGACAAGTAAAAAGTTGCAACTGAGAGCTATTGCACACACTAAGGAGAGTTAAATGTTACTGTATGTCATCTTCTCAAAAACAGAGCACAAGTCTTCCTGAAATTAGATGAACAGTTTAAGCTTTCACTGCCAGAGAGAAATTATCCAAATATTTACAATTAATAATAAAATAAAAATAAAAAAACATGGTACTAGAAAGTACTACATATGGAAATACATTAATTTCCAAATATATTAGTCAGTCTATACGCAATCCTGAGACTAATGGTGATATTTTACTTATTTGTAAAAAAAGTGGTTTTAAACCAGAATAAAGGAAGACAGAAAATATTGGTACTGAAAGACTACAATGTTGTTTTACAGTAAATTTATTGGCAACTACTACCTACCATAGCAACGAAGAAAAACATTTGATTTTATTATCAAATGTGTTTATATTGAAGCTAGGAAAAAGAATATATACCGAATCACTAAACTTCCCCTCTCTTTGCACTTTATTTTCTTCCTTGGTAAGACATGGTAGTTCAGAAAAATGTCAAACAGCAGCCTAGGAAAAAAAAGCCCTGAAATTTTAGTTAAGTAGTACTAAACACACTGTTGAGCTAGAATTAGGTCAACAAGCTCTGTCTGTTTGGAAAAACTAAAGCCATGTTAGCAAACACTTTTTGTAAACAAACATATTTACACATATAATATTTCATTTGACTATTATGATACGGTCCAATCTGAAGGAACATATTAAGTTCTAATAAAAATATAGATTAATCCATCTAATTGGAAGAAACCAAACCAAACCAAACAAAAAACCAACATAAAACACAAAAAAACCAAAGCCCCACCTTTCTTTGGTGCATAGAAAATGAACAAAACTTTACAAAATTAAAATACAGATTAAACTCTTACCAAGGCTGGAAACCACAGAGCTTTCTTTTTATCCACACTGAAGCAGTCCACACACACCACTTTTCCTAATAACTCGTCACTTTGTTTCCTGTCATCTTCATCTTCATCGCTGGAAGAGGATGAAGATTCTTCCTCAGGACTAAACAACAGAAAAAGACTTAAAACTCAACTATTCAAAACTTGCCTGTTATAATTACAGGAGATCCAAGGCTAATTGTCAAAGAGGCATAAATAATAGTGACTTCAATTGCCTGTTAAATGTTTTAGGATAAAAATAAACAAAAGTATTTATACAGATATTATAGCAACATTTCAAACATTACAAACTAAGAAAGGCACATCTACATGTAATACAAGCAAAAACCAAACAGAACACCACCATGCACCCACATGGAGGAACAGAAATTCACTGTCAGAACATTCAAAACAAGAATTCTGCCCTAGTGAAGCACTGTTCAAAAATCCTGTTGCAGTTGTAGTTTTGGACCAATATTAAGCTACATTGTTTTGTTTTTCCTCTTAAACCCTATGCTTTTACTTTAACAGCCATAAAGAATAATAAAAAGCTATTCTGAGAGAAGACAAATCTCTGAAGAAGAAACACTGGCTATGAAGATGAATAGCAACGAGAAAGTCTATTTATCCTGAAACAGTTCTTCAAAGATGTGCAGTGAAGCATTTCAATGACTGTTTCAATTTCACATTGAAGGAAGTGTTGGAATCTAAGTATAGATAGGCAAAGACACAAATATATTTTGATTAAAAAGGGTTCTGCCTCATTGTTTTAACTGCTCCAGTACAAAGTTGCACCTGGTTTTAACCATATGAGGAGTCTAAATATACAAAACTACTCAGACTAAAATTACCTGTAACTGAATAAAGAAAAAAAATCAGCACTCCTGTTTCCCACTAGATACGTTTGGGGTTTTTTTACTCATAACTTTGGAGGTTAATTCTCAGAAAATACACAGTGTGTTCAATGAGCACAAGCAGCAGAATTTTAAAACCTATCTTCAATTTCCACATAACTATTTTTGAGTACAAACTTCAATATTAACAGAAGACTCACAGTTAGCAACTGTGTAACAGAAAACAACTGATTTACAGTCTCGGGTGAAATAGTACATTTCACTTTCTCCACCCTAATTTTCTATCATCATCTGCAGTGCTGATAACAGTGGGTTTTTCCCTCTCAACATCTTTTTTTTTAAGTAGTGATTTCTTTTAAAATACAGTATGAAACTCTCTCAGGCTGCCTTTTGTTGTTTGAGAATCTCTTGTGGGGAAAAAAAAAGTCAAGGACTAGTAAAAAAGCCAGGACTATTTTAGAGAGACTACAACCTAGCTCAGTCATACCAGTACCTGTGCAATTTGTCTTTTTACTCAGTTTAGTCAGTATTAACCATGAGATAAAGATAAGTGTGTTGTTCCTGCCATAATAATGCTCTGTACAGTTAAGGAAACAGAGAAGACAACAACCCAGTCACAGACACCAAGGATGCTGCAGTCACATTCTCTGTGGTATATGCCAGCTTTTTCCATGTGTTTCCTTCAATATCTCACAAATGAGTAAATTAGTAATTGAGTAAGTACAGGGCAATATTTATTTCAAGCTATCAAAAAGACAAGAGTGTGAAAGGGTAATCCAACCAATCAAACAAAAGAAACATAAAAACTCCGTCCACAAACAACAAAAAAGAACGGTCAGTGGAGTATTTAATACTGCTTTTTCAAGATCACAACTACCAAGAATTTTGGCACCTAGGAAATCAAGTCACTACTCTTTAACTTTCTTTTTCTGTCAATAAGCTTTGCTGCAAACAATAATACTGCTCACCTATTTCTACAAGCCCTTCAGAGACCTTGTAATGAGAAACCAAAGGCCTACATGAGGATTCCAGTGCCTTCTACAAAGACTTTGTATCAGCTGGACAAAGACTGCCTTGTAATAGTTTCAGTTTGAGTCCAACACATTTATAATGCTAACATCCTACTACAGGTAGGATACAGCTCCTACTTCAGGAGCTTCTGAATATATCTTAACAATATATTTCCACTTGGTATGTCACTTCTTTATTTTTAATTAAGTAACAAAACCAGGAAAAAACCTCTTGCCTATACCTAGTATTATTTTAAATACTGACTACATGAAGACTTGCTGGAATTCTTGCATGCAACAATACACATAAAACTGACTTTCAGCCTGAGTGCTAACCAACACTTTTCATGCAACTTTCTGCCTTCTGAATAAGAGAAGCCTGAACGTACAACTAATAAAACTCCAAGCACACTGAAAGCTTCAGAATTTAATACAGACAGTACAGATATAAAGATGTTAAACTTACATATGGTTGGATCTCCTTCCTCTGTTTGTTTTCTTTCCTATAACAGGAGTCCCAAAGTGTTCGGGATTTGTGAGTGGAAGCTGATCTAATGTCTGTGAAATGAAAAAAAATACATATAGATACACATATAAAACCTCTGCTGTAAGTTATTCTCCAAGCCATAAATTTATATAATCTGGTATAAATTGATTTTTGTCAATAGAGAGACTCTCTCATTACAAAAGAAATGCAGAAGTACAGCAGAGATGTCACTGCTTCACTGCTTTAATTTTTAAAAGTAATGTTAAAAAATGTTGGGTTTCTTTCGTTTTTTTCCCAACATTTCCTCCCCACCTCTGAATAATTAACTTTCGTCCAATACACACAGACAATTCTTCCCAGAAGTCCTTTGTACCATTCAAACACAGAGAATTAAGTATCAGGTATTCTGCTGATCTGGAATAGTCCATCTCTACAGGATGAGTTTTCTGCCTGTCCTATCATCAGACTAAACACTCAATCATCTACTTATAAATGAACACAGGTCCCCTATGAAATGAAACTGCAAGATAACTCAGTAGCAGCAAACATGACACATTAATTATATTTTTGTTAGCAATTCATAATTTGATATGGGAGAGAAAGATTCTAAAACAATTTTAAAGAGGTTGCTATACTGATAATTGAGAGGGTGCTATTGATGCTGTACTAGCATCAAAACAAAAAAGAGAGAAAGAAAGAAAGAACTGTCTCTGTTCAGGGAGAATGCTAAAGCGTCAAGAGAAGGACTTCATGCAGATGCTGTTATCTTCTTTCCGTAAGACTGTGGTTTTTCCCTAAGACTGTTGTTATCAGTTTAAATGATAACCATTCCAGATTTGAAGGCCCGTGGTACACATAGTTTTTTGCGTTAATCTTGTTTGAAAGAAGGCGTAAAGCCTTCCAAAGCAAACACAGTCCTCCAAATTACACTTCTGAGTTGTGTATAGATTTTAAATGTGAAACACCAACAAGAAACTCAAAAGTGCTCTGTATCAGACAGAACTGGACATACAGACAATAAAATTGGCTTTTAAAATCTTAAAGTAAATGCGTGATTACTTCTGAGTGTGGTGGCCACCCTGAAAGATTCCACACAATTGGGAAATCAGAGATGAAGTTAAAGCAGCATCAGAACAAGACCATCATGTGGCACTGGTCTAATTGCAAAAGAAACTTTCCCTGCTGAGTAGCTACGCAATCATGAGATAATTATTAGAAATGCATAACATGCGTTTCATTGAAGGTTGATGACAATGAATTGCATACCAGTGACTTTTGGCAAGACATCAAAAGCTAAGATGGTGAGAACGATGATAAAATAAAAAGTAGGAGTCACCTGAATGTAAAGCTTCATTGAATAAGCCAAAATAAGCTGAAATTGCTCTTGTTCAGTCAAATGGGTTGCAAAGCAATATATCTAGACTACAATTTTCAACTTGCTTAATATAAAGTTATACACCTCAAACGATATCAAAATTGTATTTATGGAATAGAAACAACCTAATTTTCAGGAATGCTGAAAATTAATAACCAAGAGCTAATCAAAGGAACAACATAATTTTTAAATTTATGGCATTTATATTTGAATCCAGATTTAAGCATCTAATTAGGCCCTCTTCTTTACACATGTTTAATCCTGACTTAAGATTCTAGAGGGTATCTGAACCTTCACAAGAGTGCAGTAAGCAGGCAACAATACTAAAGCATATTTATTTCAGCAAAAAACCCTTGTCTTCAGTGGCTTTCCAATAAGCTAACAAGTTTACACAAATCTGCCCATCAGTCCAGATTGTCTTACAAAATAAGAAGAAATAACCCTCATTCTGAAATTTCAACTATTTGAAATTTGCTACAAATGTCTGAATGCTTTAATATGCAAATCACCTTTAAGACAGGTGCCAGCTTCAAAATATTGGTAACTGTCTTCAAATTAACAGGTAACAACAACTCATAATTTGCCTTTTAAAAGAGAAGTAATGATCTTCCAAGTTTATCAGCTATTACAAATTAGAATTCATAATCTACCCAAACACAAAACTTAATTGTGGCCAGACGTACTTATTTTTAAATCTACCATATTTCATTTTTTTCCAATGAAAACTTATTAATAATTTTATACAAAGCAAAGTAGTTGTGTTCTCACTGTTTTTTTGTGTGATTTACAATCTTGAACCATTAATACTATGAAAACAGAAAATATGACATGTCTTAACTTTCTTAATTTACACAATCTGGTGAAATTTAATTGCATTTCTTGATTTAAAAAAAGAGTAAGCCAGACCCTGTAGACTGTATTTTTACATAATCCTCATTTTTAGTAGCATGGATGTACATAACATACTGAACACTGAGGTACTAAAAATATCACTTTTAAATTTTTCTAAATAAAAAGTTGTCACATAAAAATTCTTCCATTACCTCACTTTCAGCAAAATGTCTTTCTCCTTTTAAACACAGGGACGAGCGTCTCAGAGTCTTCTCATCACCATCATCAAACACTGTCAACAGGTAAGAAGTGGGGCAAGAAAAAAATATATATTTTTTTTAGAATCAGAGTATCAGTAAGTGATTGATTTAGGTGTCAGAAACAATGGGATATATATTCCTATAGCCAGGCCTTAAAAAAAAGCTGTACCTGGACTCTGCTGCACATCCAGTAAAGCATTTGCGCAGATTGACCAAATACATAAGCTGCTGTCTCACCACAGCTAACCCATGCTTGCATATATTAAATGGAAATCTTAAGTAATCAATAATTAAGCAGACAATTCGTGGATCAGGACACAAAAAGTAGAAATCTACACAAGCTAGAATTGAAAAACTATTCTTCAAGCATCTTCAATTTTTACAGAACTTTATTATATAACCAGAACTCCTACAATGTTCATATAGGACCTGTGCTTATGATGGAAAAAGAGAGCAATTGGTATTTCCAGTAAAAATGTTCCAGTTTAATGTTAAATGGAAGTTCAACATCTTTCTCTACTGACTAACAACAGTGCTATCAGTCTAAGAAAGATGACAAGCATCAAAGCACACATGATCATCAAAACCAGCTGTAATGAGAGAACCGTGGAGCTCCTGGTTTCTGGACTTTCTACCACCTCTGTAATCACTAGGTGACCTGGAAACACGTTCATGATACAGTTGGCTTCAGCTACATACTTTGTTCTTTTGAATCCTGAAATGCACTGCACACGTTCAAGGTAGGATCTTCAGAACTGCTCATATAAAAAGTAAGCTTTTGTCAAGTCTTCTATAGGTCCTTAAAGGACGAAAACATGGTGACAAGTTTTAACTCTCCAGCTATGCTTGCACTGTTCAGTGAGACAAAAAGTGCCTCTTCTCCCCTCCCCAACAGTGATAACAATTATAATTCTTATCCTCACACTTCAGTGGCCTTGAAGACTTCTGGGGACACAGAAACAACCCCAGGACTAGATTAGAATATTACATTAAAAATTAAAAGTTTCAGCAATTTCTTAACATGTCCCTTTCACCTTCATTCAGATCTTCTCTCTATCAACAGTATTGCTAAGCCCTATTCTGTCACTCTCACTAGAATTCAATCATGTGGCAGAAAACTAAAAATATGTAAACAATTTCACAAACAAGAGTCAAAATAACTGTGTTAGGGAAATGGCTGTCAACCAGCAAAGATGCCTGGCAAGGTAAGAGAGCTTAGTTTTCAGTCACATCTAGCTTTCAAATAATGAGCGTTATACTCTATTTTCAAGATTTACTAATTGAAATAAAAATATACAAAAGCAACGAGGTACATCAAAATTCTTCAGTCGTATTTATTTGATACTTTTACTTCGTTCTGAAAATTTTTCATCCCTGTATAAAAACTCAGTACTGTTGATGAACAGTCTTCCCCTTGTGACTACCAGTCTGTGTTTTACACTACAGGAAATGTTGAGTACTGTTCATTGATAAAGTACCAGTTATAGATGCACATCTGTCACTTCAAAATTTGTGAAAAGTATGAAGGGCAAAAACTGCACAAGAAAACACACAGGTCTGGAGCTGCCTCTCAAATGGTCAACACATAATTAAGCCTCCCCTTGGCTAAGTGAAGTAGAAGGCAGCAGGTTCTTAATTCAGTCTGTGTTAATTAACATCACAGTCTCCTTATATAATGAGAGATTTAAAAAAAAATCTATCTACTTCAAGGGATAAGCTGACTACAACAGAGGTAAACCTATTCGGAGCTACGTAGGTAGCCACATTATGTATCCTGTGTGGTAATCTGCTTGTGGCCTCTTCCCTGCCAGAGGGATTCTTAATCTTGTTCCGTAGCATGAACTCATTCAGAGGAAAAGCTCCACCTCCCTGAAAGACTTTTGTGGCCAGCACAGCACATACGGCTGTAATGCATATGACATTCTAATCTAATGGAACGTCCTCAAAACAATCTACTGAGCAGATATACAGGAGTGTAATGCATTTAACACACCTATGTTGAAACTACAAGGAAAAAGAATTAAGAAGAGGCAACTTAAAAGTCAACTTAGTGCAAATAAGACCACTTTGAATTCTGAGAAAAAGCGACGTAATGACAAAAATGTGCAGAATGGGATAGAGTCTACTTTTGAACATACACAATTCTGCATTTTTCGTAAACAATCCTATGATTTCTTTTTTTCGTCTTATTTAACCCTATTTACTGTTAAGAATATAACTTAAACTTCCTAAAGACACACTTATATGAATGACATAACAGTATCTAGCTACCAGGACTGGAATATCTCAAGTTTTTTGAGGAATTCTTACAGGACAGGCAAATAAATTAAGGACACTTCATGTATTTATACAGCTGTGCTATACTAAAAGCTAATTTTAAAAGGCTATACCAATTATTTTGGTTTGGAGTTTTTTTGTTGAGTTTTTTCTCCTGTTTGTTTGCTAAAAATTTAATTCAGTTTCTATCTCCCTTTGGTAGGAAAGTAGTAGCATCAAAAAAGGCATATAAACAAACTGATGTATGATTTCAATTCAGACAACACCTTATGAATATAAGACAAACAGGGATGCTCTTAAAAGCAACCTTGCCCGTACTTTAGTGTTAACAAGCAGCCCCAAAACTGGTGAAGGTGTGTGCTAATTCTGAAACCTGGTAAGTGGCAGCTATTTCTTGAAGTAGGACTTTCACTCAGATCTGCAAAGTCATCACAGTCTGTAAAGATCATTTCAGCTCATTCCACTCACCTTCCTGACAAAGATTATTCTAATCATCCACTGCTAGAGTCACTTCTCTCTCAAAGTGCATTACACAGCCAGCAGCTGTGCTACTTTTACTGATTCTGCAAGGTCAACATGCAGAATGTTTTGTCTACTTTTATCTACTAAATATGGATTTCAGTCTCAACTCTTACATCTCCTATTCCTACTTCTCAAGGTCAGGATTTTTGACAGGCATCTGCTTTGATTTACAGATTGCAACTCCATGACACCTATCTTCAAAATTTAATCTGCATGGACTCCTT